GGCTTAGGCCATCATTTTGAAGCCCGGCTGCGCCCGACCCGACCCGACCCATAGGCCTGCTTATGGCTCACTCAAGGCTCGGGCCGAGGCCCAATGTCTTTTTTAGTAGAACATAATAAAATTTTGGTAGAAAAAATTAAACAACACAAAAAAATTGTTCATGCCCGGCCTAGGCCCGAGCCTAGGCCCACCGGTCCGGCCCATCGGCCTGTCCAAGGTATGAATACCCTTGGGTCTGGGCCTAATTTTTTGGCCCGTGGCCCGGCCCGAATATTGATGGGAGCCCGCGAGGCTCGACATAAGCTGGCCTGGGCCAAATTTACACCCCTACCTTTTCGTTACATACGTTCTGTGCTGTAGCTACTATATACATTTATTGATATATGTGGGGGTAAAAAAAAAAAAACTATATACAGTGATATTGACGCTGTGTGGAAAGTGGGTTTATGGCTTTGTAAGATTAAAATTCACAAAAAACAAATGTTGTGTTTGATTTAGTTTTGGAATTATAATTCTCTTTTTGGAGTAATGATGAGTGTAGAATTGTGAGTTGAGTTTTGACAAAAGAAATTTATTTGGTTATGAGTTTTGAAAGTTATTTTTGAATTTTGATTTTTGAAAAGAGTGAATTAGATCTACTCAGTTGTCCGCCCGGACATCCTCCCAGACATCCGACCAGTTGACCGGAACTGTGATTTTTATTTATTTATTTAATTTTATTTTTTGGAATTGCAACCATTTATTTGAAGAAAAAAAAAATTATATTTGTTTAAGATATTTTTTAAATATAGAAATTATGTTTTTAAGATTTTTGTAAAACTAATTTAGCAATCTCATCACTAATCATTTTCAATACTATATCATTAAAAGAGTTTTGAAAAGAGTCTTGAATTTAGTTTTGTATTGTATGTTTGGTTATGAGTTTTGAAATTAATTTTTGAATTGAGTCTTGTATAATTTTGAATTGTGTGTTTGGTTATAAAATTTGAAAAGTATTTTGAAAATTTTATCTTTGGAATCATGATTCCAAAGACAAACCAAACGGAGCCAAAATATGCTAAAAATTGTGGCCCTCTAGCATTGTTGAATCTAAAAAAGTCAAAAAGTCATTATTTTATTTAAGTCATATCACCTCTCTACCACATCACTTCAAACTCAACACATACTTGACCCATATTTCTTAAAAAGTAAAAAAGTACACTTATTTAGATCATCCCAAACCATCCAAAAATGTCATATCAAACCCATAATTGTTTCACTTTTTATCTCACAAACATTACGTTCAACTATAAAAAAATTCAATCATCTTTCTAAATACAAAAATTTTAACCTACTAAAATAGCCAAAAACTAAAATAGCCAATTTCTCAAACAAGACCATAATAATATTGGGACTAAGATACTCTCCATTCCATAGTTATAATGAAGGATGTCCATTACATCATCTAATAGGTTGTGAAATAATCATAAGAATTTATTAATATTTTAAATTTAGAAGGAATATACAAATCCATGGGTAATGCAATGGAGATCTTCTATTACAATTTTGAAATGAAGAGGATCACAATCCATAATATTAATGTAATATTGTGTGGTAAAAAAATAAATAATAATATTTATTGATATATATACACACATAAATAATGATAATATTTATAGCCCAATTTACACCCCTACAAATAATAATATTTAAAGATGTCAAATTTTAAATAGTCAAAAAATTGACTTCTTAAGCATAAATATTTCTATCTTTTCATACACATAATTTTTCTTCACAATAAATTTTCAAATCTCTTATTCTCAAAAAAAAAAAAAAAAAAAATCTTACAAATTGTAAAAATCTTGTGTTACACACAAAATTAAAAATAATAAAATATTTTAGAAAAATTTATCTATATTTATATCTATCTTGTAAGAAAAGTTTTATCGCAGTTTCATAATCCCATATTTAATTTCTTGATTTTTTAAATTTAATTTTTTTTAAAAAAATTATGTTAGGTAATTATTCCATGATTTATGACTTTTAAAAAGAAAATACACTAATCTATTTTAAAATTCAATTAAAAAGAGAACACTTTTATGGTAAATCTCATAATTTATGATTTTGATTTCCTATTACTCCATATTTATCTATACTACACATTATGTGCCTCTACATATATATATGTACTAGCGTATGCCCGTGCCTGAAGGCACGGCGTAAATAATGTTCGATGTAAATAATGTTGGGATTAAAATGTAATTATAATTTCTACATATAATGTTAATTAATTAATTAATTTAATGCATCCTCAACATTTAATTAATCATGAGGAACATGAATATATTAGAAACAGTGTATGCTGCCACCACACATAAGCCAATTTTGTTTGAATAATTGTAGGTATCATTAAAATTTAAGAAAAATTAACCACAAAAAAAAAAAACTAAAAATTTAATACTTGTAACAAAATAAACTATTGAGTTTTTAATTTTATAAATTTAAATATTAAATTTCTGATTTATTTTCAATCTAAACTATTTGCATGTTTTCAATCTAAACAATCTGAGATCTTTTACGTATTTTACTAAATAATAAATAAACACCATTAACAATCCAAGTAATTTGTCGGTAGAAAAAAGTAGCCATCAGTCTTTTGCAAGGTCTGTCTTTCACATATTTTTTTGCATTCTTATTGAAAAAAAAGCATTTGAATGCGCAACACAATTAAGAAAACCGACCACTATCTCTTTTCTTACTCTGTTTCTTTTCAATTTCTTCACCATGTCTTCAACAGAGATAAAGAAATAGTCCATGAATCATGAGTGAAAATTTAAATTGGGTTATAGAAATAAAATAAAATGAAACAAAAATAATGACCCATGAGAGACATGCGGGTTGAAAAAATAAAAATAAAAAAGAAAATGTTGAGACCCAAACCAATGTCAACAGCCCCCACAAACCAATGTCAAGACCCTTGCCTGACAACACAAAAAAGAAAAACAAATATATATCAGTTTAAGGTTTAGAAACACTAACCCAAATACATAACATAACTTAACACCAACCCATATAAATTGAAAGATGCATAAATAAAAAAATGAAAAAAGAAACAGAATACAAAAAAAGAAAGAGAAATCCAAATACATATCAGTTTAAGGTTTAAAAACACCAACCCAAATACATAACATAACTTAACACCAACCCATATAAATTGAAAGATGCATAAATAAAAAAATGAAAAAAGAAACAGAATACAAAAAAAGAAAGAGAAATCCAAATACATATCAGTTTAAGGTTTAAAAACACCAACCCAAATACATAACATAACTTAACACCAACCCATATAAATTGAAAGATGCATAAATAAAAAAATGAAAAAAGAAACAGAACACAAAAAAAGAAAGAGAAATCCAAATACATATCAGTTTAAGGTTTAAAAACACAAATCCAACACAAACACATCAGTTTAAGGTTTAGAAAAACAAATACAAATCCAAATCTTAGAAACACAAACCCAAATTGATGGGTCTCTTTTGCTTTGATTAAAAAGAAACATAATGATTGAAAAGATGAAATTTATTTATTCATTTATTTTGATATTTTCAAACTTTCCATTATTTTTGTTTTTGAAAACAACAAAAACATCGAAATTGAAAATGATATCACACTCCTTAAATCACAATCTGTTAGAGTTTTAACTTATTTTGTTAATCGCCTTTCCCCCCAACAGTTATTTTGTTGATGAATATCCCATTCGAGTTTTCAAGAACACCAGACGCGATGAAGTTGGCTTCCCAACATAACCAATGCAACTAATGGCAACTATATGGGACGGAGATAGTTGGGCCACGGATGGTGGAAAAACTAAAATCATTTGGGCTCATGCACCATTTATAAGTCACTTCTGGGGCTTTGCCATTGACGGATGCCCCTATAACAGCTCTCACAGAAAATCATGCAATTCTTCCAAGTTCTGGTGGAATGGAAAGAATTACTGGCAACTGTCTCCTGACCAAGAAAGAAAACATCAAGTCATAAAGCACAATTATATGTACTATGATTACTGCAATGACAGAACTAAACACCCAACATATCCCCCAGAATGCCCACAGTGATAACAGCCCTTTATTTTCTTATTACATAATCATCTAATGATAAGTGCAGTTTAAAACTATTGAATTCACAATATAATATCATGCTTAATCACTTTCTACTTCTACTAATTCTCAACCTTCTCTCGAACCTAATACATTTTTCAGGACAACTATTCGGGCCTGTCTTTCTAGTACATATATATACATCAATCTCTAAAATTATATACAAACATCCATATATGTCATTTCAAGTATAGGAACATGTAAATATAAGGGAGGGATGAAACTTCAAATCGGATTCAACTTTGGAAAGGTCGAGAATGTCATTTATAAGTTGAAGAACTAAATCTCCTGAAGATAACATGACACTCAATAATTGTCTTTGCTCCTTGTCAAGGTTTGTGGTGGAAAGAATCTCAGCCATGCTTACAACTCCTGATAGTGGAGATCTTATCTCATGAGACATGGTTGCCAGCATTTGTTTTGCTCGCATTGTTTCCTCTGCAAGAAGAATCCATTGGTGAAAAGTGAATACCCTTTTCCTTCTAATGCTTATTCAAACCCACCAAGAATAAATCAAAGAGATAAACCTGTTATATGAATTGTTTTGTTTAGCTCTGTCTCCTTGGCACATATTGTATTTTTTGTTGTCATATAGTTTAAAGACCTATAAAACTCCTAAATTTTTTCTTTTTTTTTAGGGAAAAAAAAAGGGGGCATCGTGACATTGAAAGAATCATATAAAATCATTGAACATAGATGTCTCAGCATTAGAAGAATTCTGTACCATTTAAATGATTAAAATCATTAAAAAGAAGTCCATGTGTAATCATATGCATCCTGCTTTAAGGCCAGATGCTAACAAAAAGTACTGATAACCTAAATAAAGAGTGCTCAGACAACTTGTCATCTTCCTTTACTTGCCTTATATTCTGAGTTAATTTGGTTAAAGTCTCGGGTGAGCTTAAGCCCTTTGGATGATCTTCCACAGAATCTTCCTCTTTCTTAACAGGCTTTTCAGTGGGAAAACTGGAACTTCGTACAGAAGATGCCTTTCTTGCAATAGCTTTTGACCTTCTTCCTGTCATGGTAGTCTGTGTTGATACTCTGGGAGTGCAGACCACCAATGATGAGAGTGATCTCTCCTTCTCACAGGTAATGTAACAGAAGCTGTAACTTCTGGTGCCTTCACCTTTCTTCTTTTGAAAGGGAAGATATTGATTTTTACATCTTGCAAGTTGTGGTCTGGCCTGATAACCAAAAATCAATGGACATGCTTTACAACAGAGTTCCATGTATTTCTAGATGTATGGTATACGTGCAATAATTTATGTGCATTTATGCAAAAGGAGCAAAAATCCCAATGTGGTGTATAAACAAATTTGAGAGATAAACTAAGGAATATATGTAACCACATGCCATGGGTAGATTTTCAAATCAACATACTATAGAGGGAGATAGATTGCGGAGTGTAGCAATGACTGAAGGCCGCAAACATGCATGCACATGAGCAAGCGTATAAGGGCAGGCTGCATGAGCATGGGACAATTTTCTTGAAGTTTTACACAGAGCGCTAGATTGATGTCGCATGGTAGAGTACATTGGAAAAAGGTAATAAAAGAAATTATGAAATAGCAAAAACTGAAATCAATATTATTCTCAACATCAAAGGTGCTTCTCAATAACAATAAGCCTAATATTTATAAGCCAACCTGAGACATGGATGTTCAACGAATCGTGACATTGAAAGAATCATAACATAGGTCAAACCAAAACATTGAACATAAAAATTCAATACGAAGAAAAGCTAATAAGATTTTCTTTTCGAAACGGTAATCACAAATCAATTTATAATATTAGGTAGTGTTGAATTTAATGTTGAAGACCACCATGGCACTATGCAGACTGCTGAATCTTGTAAATGAACTCACCTGATCAGTTACATCCATACCCATGTAATTCACACCAATAGTATCCCCTGCGTTGCTGAATACAGGTTCAACATATATCAAAAATGTCTTTGACCCAAATAGTTCTGTCTCAAAAGTAATTTCCCTTTTTGCAGGTACTCCTCGTTCCAAAACTTCTGTTTTGAAGTCTAGAGATTCCTTTACACCAGCACCAGTGAATAATCAGTGAATAATCAGTTTTGAAGTCTCCACATCCGTTTTTCCTATAATGTCCTGAAAAATCAGTGAATTTGAGGAATGCATGTGCCAAATTCTGCAAACATTGCTTTACAGAAATTACATGAATTACAAAAGTGAACAAATCAAAAAGAAAAGAAAAATGCATATTGTCAGGTTTCACACCAGCACTGAAATAAAGGATGCAAATTGTAGCAGAAAATAAAACCTCAAATAAGAAAATCACTGGCAGTCAAATTACCTCCTCGTGCAAACTCGGAAAATGATTATAGATGAAACGATACCGTAACTCTTTATCCTGAAAGAAATGAAAATGAACGCTAAGATATCGATGATGACTTTTCAAGAAACTTATTGTAGATGATAAGAAATGAAGAGATGATTTACGGTTTCTCTGTGATGGAGGACGGAGGTGCCGTAGTGGGTTGAGATCTAATATGGAGAAGAGATGAAGAGTTGCTGTCGGTGGAGATCGGAGGCGACGCGACGGTGGAGACGACGTGATGGTGGAAGCAGAGCGGCAATAGAGAGGAGGGAGAGGAAGAGAGAGATCTCTGAGGACAGAGTTTGAGACCTGAGAAGTTGGAGAGTGAGAGAGAGAGAGAAGTGTGCAAATAATGTTTGGAGTGGGTGGAACACAGGAGAGAGAGGGGATTGTTTTGGGCAGGAATTGAAAACAACACATCAAGGGGCCGTTGAAAACAACACATCTCAACCCTCAATGGTTAAAAACAACACATCTCAGTTGTTGAATTGAAATGTATCTCTGATACATTTTCACACAAATTCAAAATCCCTTCTCCCTTATTCAAAATCCCTTCTCACACATAAGAGATTCCCAAAACTACTGTAATTGTTTTGTAAGATACATCCATTTTCTAATCATTGATAAAAGTGAAAGTATACAGAAAAAGATTTCAACTGTTGAAGCAATAATGGATTTAACAATTATAATAGACCTCATCAGTCAAACAACAAGGTATAATAGACCCTAAAAATATATTTATATATATGTATATAGATCAAATAAAATCAAATAATAATAAAATCCCTTCCATAATATAAGGAGTTAATTCCCAAAACTAACCAACAATACAAAGTAAATGAAATAAAGAACATTGGTAGGTGTCCTGGTGGTGTGAAATCAATAATCTTCTGAACTTTTCAGTGTTTAAATAAACATCTAAAATTTTTTCATATATAAAATTGTAGAAAGCCTACTGTTTTGAGCATTCCCTTTAAGTGAATAAATCTTCCCTCTGCAGAGATGAACCTTGAGACCAGTCTCAAAATGAAAAGCACAAAAAGTACTGTTTTTCCACTTCCAGTTGGTGCTGAAATGACCATATTTACATCGGATTGGAAACAGGCAGAAAAACATTCACTCTACAGCGAGTTAAAGCACCTGTACAACAAATACAAATGCAGAAACAATACCAATTACACCATGTATAACAACAAAACAATATTTTAGGCATTGTGGTACAAATGCAGAAACAATACCAATTACACAATGTATAGCAACAGAACAATATTATTGTAGAAAGCCTACTATTTTGAGCATCCCCTTTAAGTGAATAAATCTTCCCTCTACAAAGATGAACCTTAACAACAGTCTCAAAATGCAAAGCTCAAAATGTATTGTTTTTCCACTTCCAGTTGGTGCTGAAATGACCATATTTACATCATTCTATTTAATCAAAAACAGAACCAGCCTACTAACCCCAATCTATCAGACATCTAGATTTTTAAATTTTGCTTTTAAAATCCCTGTTTCTATACCAAGAAAATGGCTTAGGCAAACAACCATTGTTGAGCTTTGGTGACCCACCATGAAACAAACTCCAAAATATAATTAGGCTCCTTATTAGAACATCATCATACCAAAAGGTTAAGGAAGAAACTGCAATGCCTTTAACCCACCCTAATTCAACCCAATAATCACCAATTGACCAAAAATTCAAGGCGTAAAAACAAAACCCAGAAAAATCTAACAAATAGAACCAAAGAACTGAAGAACTAAAGTACCTCTGTTTTGGGGTTTGAATTGCAGCAAGGGAAACACAAAAACACACACAGCCACAAAAAACAAAAAACAAAAAAACAGAGAGAGGAAGAAACTGCGATTTTAATTCCAAATTCAGAAAATAGAATAGGTCATTTAAGATAATAAAGAACATTACCAACAAATTTACACTATTAGTTTAATAGTGAAAAAAACTATAAAACTATAAAACAAAAAAAAGAAGAAGAAGCATTCTAGGGTAAACTGTGTTCACATGGTTTTGCTTATAAACTGTGTTCTTGAATTTCCTCACTTCTTCCCATATATGCCCTTTTAAAAGAGAAAACAGATTATTATAAAACAAAAGAAGAAGATGAAGCATTCCAGAGAAGTTATGGATGACATGTAAACTATGCTCACATGGTTTTGCTTATAAACTATGTTCTTGAATTCCCTCACTTCTTCCCATATATGCCCTTTTAAAAGAGAAAATTGATTACTACTTACTTTAGGAATTCAAAATTTAAACAGAAGCAAATAAACAAATTAATTGGCAATAACCCTCAATTAATGGGCCCTTGAACCCCACTAAAAAACTTCATAGTAAAACAATAATTTGTGTGTGTTGCTAAAGTAGAACAATAACCCTCAATTTGTGTGTATATAGAAAGTAATCAGTAATAGATATATTGTAAATTCTTAAATGAGATCAATAATCTTAACACTTACGCATCTGTTGCTAAAGTAGTTCACCCTACGTTTATTTGCAGGGATTGGAAGGACATAGACTGTGCAGACTGGGACAGCCTTCAATAATCCGATGAAACCTCGTACAGGGCAGGAAGCCAGCTTGATTCGGGATGATGTCACAGTTTCTGTACATGGGTTTTTACCGAGGAAGCATAAGAAAGAGTGTAGACTTTCATTAGCCCAGAGTAGTTGTCTGAAACTTAAATAGACATTAATGTACATTGTATTTTCTAAAGAAATCATGTATTTTGCAAGGTTCTTTTTTAATTTAAATATATAAGAACCTCAGCAGTGGATGGTCAAATGTAGTATGTAGATCCGTGTTGTAGGTTATATACATACATGCTTTACCTTACTTTACTTTCTATGATTTATTTGCTTTGCTTTGCTCTAAAATTTAACTCGTGTGGTTAAGATTTATTTGCATAGGCACTTTCAAGTTGTGTTTGGGATCTTGCATTTGTGCAGTGAAAAGAGAAGGGAAAGAATTTTTTTTTTTTGTGTGTGTGTGTGTGTGTATTTTTTTCTTTTTTTATAAATTTTAAAACCACCCTCTATTTCATTTGCAAGTTCTTTATTGTTTTTTGTTCACAAATCAAATTTCCCAAGTTCTCTGTAAATGTGTAGATCAAATACAATCCCCTTGGGTTTTTGATGGCTGGTTCTTATTCTAAAAGATACAAATTTTATAGAAGGAACTTCCTATTGAAATTTGGTTTGTAAGGGAAGGAGGTCAAGAGCTTTATGAAACCACCTGAAATGGAAAGAAGTCATCGAACTACCTGAAATTGCAACCACCAAACAATGCTGAAAAACCATGAAAGGGTCTGTCAAATTAGAAACCTGTGACAGAACCAAAAAAAATAACCAAAACAGAACCCTAAAATAACAAAACATCTATCAAAAACATCTAAATTTTTAACAAAATAGAACCAGCAAAAACACAAATTAATTGACAATAACCCTCAATTAATTGGCACTTGAACCCCACTCAAAAACTTCATAGTAAAAGAATCAAATTCCAGAAAATGTAAACCAATTATATTTTCTAGAGAGCCAAAAACAAATAGAGATAGAGAGAAAGGGGGGGGGGGAAATAAAAATCATGAAACCACCTGAAATAGAAAGAAGTCAGCGAACTACCTGAAATTGTAACCACCAAACAATGCTGAAAAACCATGAAAGGGTCTGTAAAATTAGAAACCTGTGAAAAAAAAAAAAAAAAAAAAAAACCCTAAACTAACAAAACATCTATCAAAAACATCTAGATTTTAAGAAAACAAAACCAACAAAGAAACAAATTAATTGACAAAAACCCCCACTCAAAAACTTCATAGTAAAACAATCCAATTCTAGAAAATGTAAACAAATTACATTTTCTGGAGAGCCAAAAACAAATAGGGATAGAGAGAAAGGGGGGGAGCAAAAATCATGAAACCGCCTGGGGAATAACCCTCAATTAATTGGCACTTGAACCCCACTCAAATTACATACTCTCCAGAAAATGTAATTTGTTTCTAAGAGTATCCAGTTTTGTTTCTAACCCTCCAATTACATACTCTCCAAAAAATTAGGACTAATTAGGATTTTTAACAAAACAGATCCAGCAAAGAAACAAATTAATTGGGAATAACCCTCAATTAATTGGCACTTGAACCCCACTCAAAAGAATTTCAACCATTTGAAGCACCTATATTGACAATTGTGTTTAAAGGACTGAACCTGTGGAATTTACCAGTGGAAGTTCTTCCAACAATAATCTAGATCTATATGTGTTTGAAAGGTGATGCTAGGAGGTGAAATTGATTCAAGTAGTAGTCTAGTAGACATTTGAAAACTTTTGCCCAAAACAATGCCTAGAACTTCTCAGAAGATTTGAAAGCAAATTAAGATTATGATGGTGGTCCTGTAAGTTGCAAGGGACATTTGCAAAGTAAGGATGGGCCAATCGACAACTTGAATCTGGGGTATCCAGTTGTTTTCAGTTTCCTGCATGCTTATGCCATGGCAGGTTTGAATTCACAGTAATAGTGACTTGTAATTTGTAGGTAATAGTGATTTTGCTTGATGTTTTGAGTTGTGTTCTAGAGCTAAAACACCAGAGATAAATGGAAATGGTGAAACGTTCTTAATTATATTGCATTAATTACTGGAAAAGTGGAAATGGTGAAACGTTCTAAAACACCAAGTGGTACTTTTGGAAAAGTTGTCATTTAGCATTAATTACTGGATTTACCCCACTACATAAATTTCTTAATTATATTGCATTGGTGTTCCAGGAATCAAGTGCCCAGTTAGCAATGGGAGCAGCCTTTGGAATTGAGCCACCAAAGGAGAAGGTCCTTCCCCTCCGAAAAATATAAAATTATGTCTAATACCATTCAGATGTAAGACAGAACATTACTGTTGCCAACACAATAAGGAAATTAAAATGACAATGACAATGGTTAACCAAAAGCTCATAACTAAAGAGAAGCAGAATTCAAAAGCTCATAACTAAACCAATAATTTCTGCCATAGTTCTAAACAATAAACCATGAACCACAAAATAGGCAACCACCAACAAACATCGATTTACTTGAAGCATAGAGAAGCATAGAGAGAGAGAGAGAGAGAGAGAGAGAGAGAGAGGTACCAGAGAGCTCCCATGGGGGTTCGAAGCAGAGAGAGAAAGAGAAGATGGCGGCGTCAATGTAGAATTCGAGGAAGTTGATGATGATGACGGTGGCTATGGTGGTGGAAACCCTAGCCTCCGGTGACCCAAACAGAGAGGGAGAGAGAGATAAAGAGGGAATGAGGAGACGTGGGTAGATGGGAAGTTTAAGGAAGAGAAGGGTTTGGGCGGGAAGTAAATAGATCAGAATCGTTGATATATATTGACGATTGATCTGAACCATTCAAATAAAATGTATCTCACATACATTTTATACATTTTCAAAATCCCTCTTGCCTTATTATATAGATATATAGTATAAATGTCATCTAAAGTATTAAAATGAATACAAATATGAGTGGATGAAAGGGTTGATAATATCTGATTTACTTGATTTTTTACAGGTATATTTTATTTGATGTACTCTAAATAAGCCCATAGGGTTGTACAATAGCAGCTGTTGTGCCTCCAACACAGCAGCTACCCCAAATCCAAAGCATACATTATCAGTTCAAAAATCATAAACAACTATAACAGCTATACTATCCAAAGATTTTAATCTATTCTTCACCGCAATATGGCATCAACATCTATTTCAATTGTTTTATCAATTTTTCTGATACAAATTTTAAATATTATTTCTTTTTTTTTTTTTTATTGTGGATGTTAACACATGAGATATTACAATATTTTATGATTGTAGCATTTGAGAGTTTTAATTTATATTTATATGTTTATTTTTTGTTAGATATATAGCAGTTAGAGAAAGTTGACGATACCATGATGAATTTGCCCATAAAAAAAAAAAAAAATGCAAGTTTTAATTGTAATTCCTCCAATTTTGATTTTAAGTGGTTTGTTTTGATTATTTTCTAACTTCATTCCTTTAAGCAAAACTTACAATAATGGTCATTCAGGTTGACAACATGTAAGTTTTGTTTGTTTGCTTGTTTTTGTTATTTAATTTAATTTAATTAATTATTATTATTATTATTATTATTATTATTTTTTTTTTTTAGAGTTACAAATCATTTGGAATTTCCTAGGGAAGTCATTTAGATCATCATTTATGCATGTGAGATCATGTTTTTGCTTAAGTCGACATTACTTATCATATTATTATGAATTATGAATATCTGACCATATTACAAACTTTTTAGTTTTGGGAATACCCATTATTTTGATTTTTTTTTTATAATTGCCTTTTTATTTTTTCCCTTTTTAATATTACTTGCAATCTTTGAACATTTTTCTTGCAAATGGTTTGACATATATATTGATCATTTAGTCATCATGCATATGAGTAATATTATCGGTGGATGACTATGACTATTATAATTTTTGTTTATTTTAATTTTTTTTGTGGCACAAAAACTTGATGTTCATATCATTTGTTCATAATTTTTTCAAATCTCTAACTAATATGAAGGACTCACAAATGTATGTGTTGATGTTTGATTCATTACGTATGTATTTTGTTTTCATCAATAAAGTTACTATTTTTCATTTAAAAAAAAAAATCACTCATAATTTCTTCAAATCCGTAACTAATATGAAAGGCTCACAAATGACATATAACCTCACAAAACCATAGGGACAAATTGAATGACTTATTCAACCTAAATATTGTAAATTTATTTTTTATATACATAATCTTAAAAGATAGAGATAGGAAAATATAATCAAGATATGCTAATATTTTTCAAATTATTTAATTTAGAAACAAATATGATTTTTTAAATTGACTTTAAAATTTTATTGATTCAAGCCATTTAGTGAGATTAACTTTATATTCTTAGCCAAGCTCAAGAATTTTCTTAATGAACTTTCTTCACGTTTTCTTATACAACTAAAGATTCATTTCCAAATACAATAGCTTTTCTTATCTCTTAAAATAGTCAAAAAAAGTCATTTAAAATGTTAATTTCAAATAACCACTTAATTAAATATGGTTAATATTTACTTATCTATTTTTTTTCAATTAATTAAAAAAATTATTCATCATTATTTAATTCAGTGCATAGCACGGATTGTACACTAATTTTTACTTCTTTAAATTATATTTATATATATATATATATATATTACATAAGCCAACCGCTAATATGACGTAACGAGCAAGGTGTTCCAAACTAATGAAAAATAAACTATATATATACATATGCATGTGCAATTCGATAAAAAAATAATAATGTAAGAATAATAACAAAGAAGAATACTTATATAATTTGTGTGGCTCAAGTGATAAAAGTTTTATTTACCAAACTTGTGATCTTGATTTCAAGTCGTATATAATTTAAAAATAAAAATAAAAATTGATGGACGCAACGAACGAAGGGCGTGAGACGCAACTGGACAATTCTGTAAGTTAAAAGAATACCAGCGAAGAAGCTTTCATCACTCTTCCTCGAATCAAAAGTCCATTTTTTCCAACTGAATAAATAATTTAATTTTACTAATAAAAACAAAGTTTTTAATTTGAAATTGTCTTAAATATACTCTTTTGAAAAAGAAAAAGAGATAAAAAAAAAGATTTAAAGTGTTTTCAGGGTTTGGGGAAGAAAAGCAAAGTATATGTATTTCTACTCATCTTCATACGAGCCGGTATTTTTGAAATTTAAATTTTATTTTTTGTAAAGATGATATCGGAATTTCTCCTTTACGATTAATTTCGACTGACCAATGTTAGAACTAATAATTCATGCACAAAATATTATTAGGGTGTGTTAGCAAAAATTTGGTTTGGGTCAAATAAACAAAGGTGATTCGACAGAACAACCAAAGTTTCACAAACAACAACAGATCAAGCAATTGTGGTTTGATATCCTATGCCTTAACAGTTTTAAGGACTTTTTTGGACGTTGTAATGTGAAGAAACAAGTGTGAATAAACTAAAATTCGATATAGTTGCCTGAAATTCAGATTAATCTACCCCCTTATTTGCCTGAAAACCACACCAAACTGCCCTCTCCTCAACAAACTTAGAGCACCAACATTCCTATCATGAAGAGCAAACTGGTCAAGAGAGAGCAGGCCTAAGAGAGTTAGCCCTTCCTAAGTACAAAAGCTATAGCTAATTATGCTATTCCTAATTC